TCACTTGTTTCGATCGATGGCACACGGCCTGGCTGACCAGCACTTCCGGTCTTATGAAGAAGTAAAAAATTGGATCGATTCGTGGATAGCCTCAAAAGATGACCAGTTTTTTCGACACGGGATTCGTACGCTACCCGAAAGATGGGAGAAAGTAGTGGCCAGCGATGGACAATACTTTGAATATCATAAATGTATAACCAGTTTTTTACAATAAAGCCTCGAATTTCGGAAAAAAACGGCGGAAGCAAAGTTGTACACGTAATATGTACATTTGAGCTAAAAATATGATATTACTGTTTTTTTTTCCATTGCGCAATGGTTATAAAGATGGTAATATTACATTTTTTATTCAAATTTCTATATATTTTACATTTAAAATATTAGCATGATACTAGCTATTCGATAAAGCAACGTTCAGCTTTAAGAATCTGTTTTTTTAATTGCAGTACAATGATTTTTAATGAAGTTATGAACAATCAAAGTTAGAATGCTCCTTTTTACTTAATTCGCGAATAGAACTCAAGAACAAAAAATAAGAAACATTTTTAAAAGACGATTTTGTAAGGAAAACTCTAAACTTTCGAAATAGATAATCGAAAATTTTTTTCAGATCTTTTTTGACACGTTACAGATCCACAAAGTGAGAAGAAAAATTTTCCATCTTTTTCAACTTGTAGTTTTCTATAAAATGACAAACTTACATAAATTCAAAAAAATAACCATTTGAAAGTAGAGATTTCAAGCTTTAAAACGTTTATTTTAATTTAAATTTTGATCATTTTTAACAAAGATATTTTATGTATAATTTTGAGCTAACAAAATACCGTAGAACTTTTCCTTCAATCTCAATATCATGATCATAAAATATAAATTATACATATTTGGTATTTATTTTTGGTATTTATTATACATATTTAGCATTTTATTAGCCAGATATATTTTTATATATACATTAACATAATATAAGATGTTATTTAAAAACAAATTTTGTTATATAAATAAATTCTAACTTTCTGTTTAGTGAACTTTGGGGGAGCGATAGCCTCGTCCGCTCCTCCCTCCCCCCTTCTGGATCCATCATCGAGACTATTTTCCTTTTAAGAGAAAAATCGTCGCTTTCCACTTACAATTTTGTTCAATTCAATCGACACTGCCTCTGCTGGGAAGGAGAGTCAGAGTGTGTCAAGTGCAATTTTGACGAATTTAATGATATTAGAATGTATATGCAAACTAGTTCGTAATTCTAATTTTGTTTTGTTCTTTGATCATTTTTAACTATCTTTTAAAAGGTTAGAGATTAAAAGTTGGTTGCACACACTGCACATATCGCGTTCCATTTAAATTGTGTTCGAGTGTATTAAACTGTGTCGATTTGTATCTTCTAAAAGGAAAACAGCCACGGTAACTGAGTACATAGACTGAGCATTCTTCAAAATTCTAGAAGTGGGAATAAAACTCAGGTAGAAAAGAACGTAACATTGTGATCCAGATGTGTTCTTTCTAGTGCATGCACGAAACAAGAAAGAACGCACTTAAATCAATACATTCTTTTCTATCTGGGCTTTATTGCCATACCTTGAATGCGTAGTCTATGGGAGAAACTCGTATGTAACAATAACGCAGTGCGCCGGAATCTTTTTTGAAGTTAAAGTATAATCCTTAGCGAATAAGCATCGAACAAGCCCAACTCAAAATGGATTAACGAAAATGGATTGAAATTTTTTTCTATCCGAATGCGTATTTTAAATAGTGAATACTTTTTTTAGATTTAATTGGATTCAATTGAATTCAATTAGATTCAATTGGATGCAATTGGATTGAAAAACTGCATTTCCTATTCAAAATTTTGAATTGAACAGTATTCACAATGCATAGAAATTAGCTAATATTATTTTTAGATTGAAAAGCATAGAGATATGCTTCAAGTAATTCCTAAAAATGAATAAAAATGCATTCAGAATTGAAAAGCATTCATTTTAACATTCGTAAATCAATATTTCTGAAAATCTGAATCCATTTTAATTTATTTCAATCCATTCTCGTTTATTGGGAAACCACTGATTCAATTATTATTGAAAACTGATTTTTTGCGACGCCGCGCGCTGAGAAAAAATGCCGAAGAAAATCGGGAAATTCCGACGTGACCTGACAGCGCGATATAAAAATAGCGATTAAAAAGATCTATTCCGTTCCTAATTCCGATCCCAAGCGAGAACTCCGAGATTCGCTGAGCAAGTATCCAAGTCCGAATCCTAGACAATTAGTAGCGAGAAAAGGGGGTAAAATGTTCTTTGCCTCCGCTAAGTGTTTTCAGCAGTTGGCGAGCCAGCCTGACACAGTTATTGCGCACCAGAATAAACATGGTGTATAGTGTTCTTTGTCTCGACCGGCATTCTAGGTTATCGGTCGTACTTTAACTTTATTGAATCTGAATTTTTAGATCTTACATACAGTACTTTAATATTTATATTTAATATCTATATTTAATATCTAAGACTTGATGATTCCCCCTCTTTAGCAAAGCTGACTAATAGGAGCGCGTTTGTTGTTATTTAGATATATTTTCTCATTATGTTCACCATTGTTGTGTTCACGACTATTGTTCATGACAATGTAACATCAATATTTGTAGCAATCTGAAACTGTCATGTCAATTTTGCACATTATTATCATACCAAATTTTATGCTCAAGACATTATTTAACTTATTATATTGTTACATTTTAATTAATTAACATATTATATTGTCATGATTTAATAAATCAGAAAGTCTAATGACGTTTCTATGCACAATTCTCGATGTAAGCGATATCTTCTTCTAAGCACAATTCTTGATATTAAGCGATAGAAATGCATTTCAAATGATTCATAGAATAACATTTAGTATGTGACACAGTATTTCATTCGTTACTCAACATTAATATTGAGGAGGACCCAAAACTCGGATCGAAACGTTATTTTAGTTTATGTTATTTTAGTTTATTTTATATGTGTGCATTGGAAAATAAATTATAATTTGCAACTACAACTGGCGTTGGCTCTCAGCAGGCTTTTTAACTATCATTAATTAATAGCTAATTAATCGAAAATGAAATCCGAGAGATTTTTTGGATCGCTGATTACGAATCTGAAGTCAAAATTAAAAAATTCAAAATGACGAATAATCCAATATGGCGTACAAATAAAAAAAATTAGTTCTGGGGCTGTAAAATGGGGTCAAGTAGGTTTTTGAAGTTTTTGAAGTTTTGAGGTTTTTGAAGTCGTTCATTATGAATCTGAAGTCAAAATTTAAAAATTCAAAATTGCGAATCTAGTATAGTGAAGTGAATACTCAAAAGGCAAACAATCTGTACAGTTAATGTAAGTTAGTCCCGAGAACGGGGCGAACATACTCTCTCACTCACAAAGGTATATGCGACAGACTACCATCCATCATCCAATGAAACTGTCTCGAGAAAGGCGATGGAAAAACCCAGTAGCGCTTGCAAAATGTTTCTGCAGGGGTGAGCAGTTTCGCCGCGACACGCCTCGAATCTTCGAGGCGCCTCATGTCTACGAGAAACCACGAGGAGACCTATTCTTCTACGTCTCGTCCAGACGCATGCTCTGGAAGGATAAGGATAGAGATTAGGATTAGGATTGTATATTGGCTTACTCGTAATGCGAAACAATCAAGTAGTTAGACTGTCTCCTGTCTTATTGGAGCAAGTCAGCTCTATGTGGGGCGCCAGCAAACCCGAATTCATAACAGTAGATCACAAGTCGAACGCACAAGGCGTCTGACCGACGCCTAAGAACAATCTATGCAGTATATATACTGCAAATGGAGGTTACTTTATGTTTGCTGTTTTTATTATTAACTTTTTGTTTTTTGGGCCATTTTGAACCCGCCATTTTGAATTTTAAAAATCTGAGGTTAAATTCGTAATCAATGATCTCGAAAACTATCGAATAACAAATTTCTCGAATAACTGAATTCTATGTAAAGAAAAATGTATGCTTCAAAAAATTAAGATATTCACTCGCGAAATAAAAATAGTCAGAATTTTTTGAAATTGAAACTATATATTGTACTAGACGACTTTGACATGCTTGTGCAATTAAAATGAGATTGACCGTTTCAATACTGAGATCTAAACAATTAACAACTTTTTATACGTGTCGCCTGTACAAAATTCACGAAAATGTGTTTATTTTTGTATGACCTAAACTAACAACAATATATTAAAAACGATGAAGAAACATGAAACAAATATTGTAAAAAAAAATTATAATTTTGATCATTTAGTTAGGAAAATAGAGAAAAGAATGCATTATTTTGATTTTCTTTGGCATATAGTGGCGACTGAAGGAAATGATGAGGAGTAGAGGGAAAGGCCAGCGGACATCTGACAGCATCGGCGTTTGCGTTTATCTGTATTTATTGGCTGTATTCAGCGAACTCAACAGTTGAGCGCTCACTGCTAGTGATGTATTTTTCCAGATCTAAAATGCTGATTGGATGATTTAAAAGAACACACCAGTAATAGCGAGCGCTCACTCAAATGTTTAGTCTGAGCCATTTTCTTTCCGCTTGTGTGTCTTGGACAGGCAAAATCGAAAATACTAATAATCAATATTTAAATTTATAACTTAACAATTACTGTTGAAAAGAGTGCTTTCTCAAACATGTTCATTATTTTTTGTCAGTTTTCTCTTTCTGGTGGGAGTGAAATATCATCACCGAGTGCCGCAACAGAACTAAACTTTTAGACGATATTATCGCGAGTATATTACCTTAATCAAATTATTATATGAAATG